AATTATTTAATATATTTATTATTTAAATATATTAAATATTTAATGAAATATGCATCTGGAAAATTCATAGAATCAAAAGACAAATTCATGCTGATCACACAAAATTTTCAGATAATACTAATGGGTAGCATGAATAGCTAATGAATTAACCACCTCTCTCTCTCTCTCTCTTTTTAAGCTAATAGATGGTTGCACGCCTCGGCAGAAGGAAGAATTGGGAATTATGACCCCAGATTACTACTACTATCTGAACCAATCTGGAACATACAAGGTGGATGGAACTAATGATAGCAAGGACTTCCAAGAAACCATGGTACATATTTTCTTCAAAATGATCATGCTAGATTATGTGTCTCCTCTCAAACACTGTGAGAACAGTTCAGTTTTCGCTACTAATTTTTGATGTCTACAGGAAGCTATGCAGGTGATCGGCATACCGGAGATGTTTCAGAGGCAGGTGCTGCAGATTGTAGCTGGCATCTTACATCTGGGCGCTGTCAGTTTCATTGAGGCGGGAAACTATGCGCAGGTGGAGAGCACGGACTGTAAGTGATATGTAGATGGAATTTGCCCATTTGCTGTTCTGAGTAATAATAGTGACTGATTATTTTTATCTTTGGAAATGTTCTGTTAGACTTTGCATTGACATTTTTTACCCTGCTTTCAACCCAGTACTGGCGTTCCCTGCATACCTGCTGGGTATCGACCAAAACCGTCTACAGGAGAAGCTCACCAGCAGGAAAATGGACTCCAAATGGGGTGGTAAATCTGAAACCATCGATGTGACTCTGAACAGAGAACAAGCGAACTACACGCGTGACGCTCTCTCCAAAGCACTCTACGCCCGTCTGTTTGACTACCTGGTTGAGGTTAGTGAACGGCGTATGAACACCCAATAACCATTGGTCGAGGGAAAAAGGTCATTTTTTACCTTTCTCTGTCTGAGCAGGCAATAAATAAAGCCATGCAGAAACCCATTGAGGAGCTCAGTGTTGGTGTTCTGGATATTTATGGATTTGAAATTTTCCAGGTGAATATCCTCTCCTTTATATCCTATCTTCTGATTGTTATTGCATATTATAAAGAGGGACTTTTAATCTTCTACTCATTAATCAGCCAATTAGGTATATTTGTCATTTTAATTAACAGTAAATATACACCACCATTCAAAAGTCTGGGGGCAGTAAGAGTTTTGAAATATTAAAAAAATACTACTTAAATTCAGCAAGAATGCATCAAGTGAAGGTAAAGACATTTATGTTACAAAATATTAACATAATTTAATATTGTTTTTATGCAAAAAATAATCAACATTGATAATAAGAATTGTTTCTTAAGCACCAAATCAACATATTATTATTTTTAAATATATTAAAATTTAAAATTGTACCATAAAACTGTTTTACTGTATTTTTGAACAAATAAATGCAGCCTTGGTGAACCTAAGAGTCTTATTTCAGTAACAGGAAAAAATCTTAATGACCCCAAACCTTTGAACGCTAGACATATTTTGTGTTTTTAATGACTATTTTCAAATGTGAAGGTTCTTAAGTAACGTTCTTTGAAAATATTAAGTACATTTAAATTCAATTTTATTATTAATAACAATTATCTGTTTGTTTGTTTTTTTCTCTAGAGGAATGGTTTTGAGCAGTTCTGTATCAACTTTGTGAATGAAAAGTTGCAGCAGATCTTTATTGAGCTGACACTGAAAGCAGAACAGGTACAACAAACAATTCTTTCATCATACTTTTCACTAGTATCTCTCTTGATGTGTATAAAGTCTCAATCAGACTTATTGTTCTTTACATCCCGCAGGAAGAGTATGTACAGGAAGGCATCAAATGGACACCCATAGAATACTTTAACAACAAAATTGTGTGTGACTTAATAGAAAATAAACTGGTAAGCATGTAGAGAGACTGTGCTATATTAATGAATAGCACAATTACTAATTAATAACAATTCGTCAATTTGTCAACTGTAACCCTGTTCCCCCTCAATCCCAGAATCCTCCCGGCATCATGAGTGTGCTGGATGATGTGTGTGCTACCATGCACGCCAAAGGAGATGGTGCTGATATGACTCTGCTTCAGAAGCTACAGGCTGCGGTGGGGACACACGAGCACTTCAACAACTGGAACTCTGGTTTCGTCATTCACCACTACGCTGGCAAGGTGTGTTACGACTTTTGACCTTCAGTGCTTACCAACCTCAAACTTTTGAACAGTAGTGTATATGCTGTAGCACTCCTAAATTGCTTCTTATTACCTACTTCTTTGATTCAGGTGTCGTATGATATCTGCGGTTTCTGTGAGCGAAACAGAGACGTGCTTTTCCCTGACCTCATAGAACTGATGCAAAGCAGCCAATTGTAAGTGCTAATTCTCTCTTTCTCTTTCGTCATAAGAATTGTTTATATTCAGAAGTTGTTTTAGGTTTGGTAAAGGGTAGAGAACTTAATATAACAGGAAGCCAGGAACAACAGAACAAAGACAGATGAGTGTAATCAATTTTCCCTGAAATAGTTTACTACTCCTGGAAAGCACTAGCAAATTGGCATAACCCCTTTTTTCCCATAATCTCAATCAACATGTTCCAAACATCCAAAAATATTTATCTCTCTGGCATTGCAGCGACTTCATTCGGAGCCTCTTCCCAGAAAACCTCAATACGGATAAGAAAGGTAGACCAACCACGGCTAGCTCGAAGATCAAAGTAAGACCAATGTCTTTAATAAACTCTTACTCTTCTGAGGATAAGCACACTTGTCACATTTCCTTTATCTGGAGTCACTCACTGACTGTCTGGTCCACAGAGACAAGCCAACGAGTTGGTTAGCACACTGATGAAGTGCACACCGCACTACATCCGCTGCATCAAACCCAACGAGACCAAGAGGCCCAAAGACTGGGAGGAGAGCAGGTGAGTCGTGTTCATTCAAATAGGACTCCAGATATTTCACAAAGATGGTGTAAATGAACTACAATGTGCTATTCATAAATTTGACTTTTATGTTCCCAGAGCGAAACATCAGGTGGAATATCTGGGCTTGAGGGAAAATATGTCATGTCTGAGAGAGAATGAAAGCGGTTTTGAACAAGAGGGAGAGGGATGGTGATTGTCTCATGATGATGATTAATGATGATATATCAAAGACGTATGAAGATAATGTGAAAATCAATTACACATTAGTCAATAACAGCATTTTCTGTGCTTTGATATTTCATCAGTCATGCCCTCTCTCATCTCCTCTCCTCGCCTCTTCTGTCCTTAATTGCTCATAATTCTTCTTCTTCTTCAGTGTGTAAGTTTGAGCTGTGCACACAAGTGATGAGAAAATGTCATTTGTTTGATTTAATTTATATATACATTTGCTGCTAGGTTTTCCTTGACATGGTTTCTTCATAATCACACCCAGAACTCTTTATATCTTTTATACTTAAAAATGATTATACTGAATGGTATCTATTTATAAAAAAAAAGTTCAAAGGAACACAATTCTGTTTTGGTATCGAAGGAGGCTTACAGATGGGGCTGTATGGGATTTTTTTAATGTTTTTGAAAAAATCTCTTATACTATATTGCTTAAAAAAACAACAGTAACATGAAAAATTACTACAATTTAAAAGAACTGTTTTCTATTTTAATATTTTTTTAATGTAATTTCATTCTGTGGTTATTACTCCAGTCTTTCACTGTCACACGATCCTTTAGAAAATAATTCCAAAATGCTGATTCGGTGCTCATGAAACATTTCTTATATTTGTCAATGTTGAAAACAGTTGTGCTGCTTAATATTCTTGTGGAAACCATGATACATTTTCAGGATTTTTGAATGAAATGAATTGAAAGTTCAAAAGAACAGCATTGTTTTGAAACACAAAACATTGTAAATGTTTTTACTGTCTCTCTTGTCCAATTTAATGAATCTTTGAATGGAAATATTAATTTCTTTAAAAAAAAAATGTTTGAGAAACACTAACCAAGACCAGCCTAGAAATGCCCTCAAAAACACTGGAGGAATGCTGGGATTATAAGTTATATTGAACCTTAGCATTCTTGGACAAGCGCCATATTTTATTCAGGAAAAGTAAAAAATTCGTCTTCTTTCATTGCCCTCCAGCACAAGGCAAGACGACTTCTTCATCCTTCATGAGAATGAGTATGACAGTCTTCTGGAGTCCACATTTAAAACTGAGTTCCTCAGTCTGCTTTGCAAGCGTTACGAGGAGCAGACCCGAAGCAAACTCTCACTGTCCTTCAGCGACAGGTGCTGATAACTCTCTATCTCTCGTTCATAGCATTAGACTCACTCCAGTGCAGAACATAAATGAATACTAATGTTTTGTGCAGGCTGGAGTTCCGAGTGAAGAAGGAGGGCTGGGGAGGAGGCGGCATGCGTGTGGTGGTTTTCCAGAGGGGACAGACTGATTTAGCCGTCATCAAACCTGGAGGAAAGACCCTCACTATCTCTATAGGAGATGGACTACCAAAGACATCCAGTACGTGAGATGGATGGATGAAGAGTGTCAACAGTGGCACAAAAACTGTGAAGAGCGTCAGCAGTGACAGAATTCTGTTCATTGAGCTTCACTGCATGTACTTTTTGTTTTTCTCCAGAGCCAACCAGGAAAGGCATGCCACAGAGTCAAGGAGGAAGTAACCAGCCACGGCACAGAGGTAGAAAAAGAGTTACAATTCTGAGCTGGAACTGCTGTGTTGAACCACATGGATACATTTTGATTCCCTTTATATTTATTGAAAGCCTCCATATATGATTTTTGACAGGGGGCCATCAGAACGGGGCAGCACAGTTTGCCCGGGCTGGTGCTCAACAGCACCATCAGCCGCAGCAGCAGAGGGAAGCGACATACTCCACACCAACGAGGAACCCTCCACCCAGCAATGCTCTTCCTAAACTGGGATCGCAGAAGAATCCAAGAGGCTCTAGGCTGGCCCAGAATCAGTCCACAAACCTCGACTTCCTCAATGTGCCTGATCAGGGCATGTCAGGGTAAGAGAACACAGATAGAAAACATCTCAAATCCAGGTTTGTAAATACTAAACAGTCTAAAACTTTCCAGAATGCAGCGGAAAAGGAGCATCAGCAAACGGCCTCCACCGGCCCCCTCTAGCCGTCCCAAACCTCAGCCCCGACCACAGGGCCCTCGCTGCAGAGCGCTTTACCAGTATTTTGGCCAAGATGTGGATGAAATTAGCTTTGATGTCAATGACATCATAGACCTTATCAATGAAGGTGAGAGACTTGGTAATAAGACTGTTGTGAATTCGATTTAATTGGCTGTTGAATTGTTTCTAATGTTCCTCTGGGTTTCCTGTAGATCAGTCAGGGTGGTGGCGAGGGCGGATTCATGGGAAGGAGGGTCTCTTTCCTGGGAATTATGTGGAGAAGATCTGACCTGATGAACCTGCACCATGACTTTTGACCTCTAACCTCCACTAGATCATGGAATTTTCACTCAAGCCAGTGACGAGATAAGTGACTTGTCACCATTTTGTAGTATTTTTGCTGAATTTTATGACATTTTTTGTAATTAGTTTTTTTAAATAGACAAATTTGTTGGTACAGTTTTCAGGCTAAGAGAGAGCATACACTGTTTACAAAGACTCTGCACTGTCCACAAATGACCACTTGACTGCGCTGTTTTGCAGTTTGAAAGTCTAATTTCGTGAAAACTATATGTAAAAAAGAAGAAAATATTTTCTGTGCATCAATTTTTTATGCTTCTTTTTATCCTTCTTCTGTGTAAAATCTTCAATCATAAAAAGTATTAATTGATGTCTGATACTAACAGTATTAAAGAGAGCTTTGTTTAACAGATCTCAATGCAGTACTATATTAAAATTTAAATGGCATCCTGTAAAGAAATATGTAAAGATATATATCTTTCCTAATGTTTTAGCCACAAATGTGATTATATTCTTAAAAATAAGGAATATGTCAATTACAATGTGATCATTTAGGATCATGAATGAAAAGACTAAGCAAGCTTTGTTGAATGGAGAATCTGATCAAGTTTGCACCTGGAAGTATGTAGTTATTACCTCTCGAAGCAGTGAAAACTTGGAGCCAAGAAAATTGGAAAGTGGAGCCAAGCCTAAATAACTTTACAATGGAAATGTGTTTTTCCTTGATATCTTTGCCCCTTGTCTAATTTCTGTGGTACATGCATTTAATGTGATATTTGGATTGGATTTGCAGTAGAATTGAGGTTATTAGCCCCTGGCACAAAAGGTGAATGACAGAAAAACGTGTTCTTCGCAGGTGGCTGGGAGGACTGGTTAAGCAGGTGAGTTCAGACTGAAAGTTTTCTCCACAGAAGGTGCACAGAAACACTACAACAAGAAGCATTATGAGAGTCAGTCCTCATTTTCCATGCTAAACATTTATGCAAAAACCAGCAAGTTGCTGAGTGTAAAAAAACAAATACAGATTTAAGCCTGGACATTTGCATGTGATCTTCATGTTAATGAGCGGTAACTGCAGCAGTTTCATCTATATGTTCCTCTTGGTTAAAAATAGATCTTTGTTTCTTTTAGGATATTTGTGCGGGATACAATGTACAGGCCAACATAAATTTACTATGGTAACCAGTAACCAAAATACCTGTTACTGCTTTAAAATGATTAATATTAAATCTCCTTGAACAGCTTGATTTTACATGAGTCATGTTTCTTTTCTTTCAGATGATAGTAGAGAGAATTAACTTTGTATGCTTGTTTTTAATCAAGTTGATCAAATTTTGGCTTCTGTTTGATTAAATTAAATTAAATTAAATTATATTTAGTCATATAGCCCTTTTAACAATACATAACAGTAATAGTAACAATACAAAGCAGCCTGGAGAAAATAGAGCCTCACAAACCTCCAGTGAACAAGCCAAAGGTGAGAGTAGCACAGAAAAACTGAATGAGGGAGAAACCTTGGGGAAACCTATAGGCCCAACAGAGAGAGGTACACTGCCTCTGGCTGACATGTATTTAACTAATATTTACAAAACCACAGCCTAGTCATATTTATTAACACACAGTTGTCAATTGACTAAATGGAATCCAACCTAATAGAATTTAGAATTTATTTATGTATTGCCACGTAATGGGGTGTGGAGAAAATAAAAACGAAAAAACGAGGGAAAAAATACTGCCTATATAAGTGAAAGATATTGTACAATACTTTAAATTGGCAATAAATTGTATTATAAAAAAGTAACAAGTGTAGGCAAGTAAAAAGAGCAACTACGGTTACCACCATGGTAAACCTTTGTAAGGGAGGTGCTGTATGGGGCCACCTTTTTCATTTTAACCAAGTTTACTTTAGGTGAAGGCATTAAATATTGAAACTGTAAATATTTTGCGGTTAATGAGTTGAATGGGCGTCAAACAGTCCACAGGTGAGGTGCAGGTAAACTTGACCTCAGCTAGTTAAACTTGTGCTGCAGCTCGTGCCGGAGGCGGGCGCGTGCCAGCCTTTCTCATGTAAAACGGTGCGTTTCAGGTCTGTCCGCAATAGCGAGCTGACAGCTTCACTATACAATGGCACAATAAGGAACGCAACTGTTCGCTCGGTTTCACCTGAACCCTCCAGGTGATGTCACAACGCGAGACCCGAGTAACAGGATCGGGGACATTTCTCCCCTACTTAAACCAGACACATGGAGCGCGCCGCTGTGGATGCGTTTTGGAGAGGTAAGCGATAGTTTATTGCGTTTTATCTAAACGTCTGATCATTTGGGTTTATCGATTTGAGAGAGTTTATATAAGATAAGCATGTTAGCCATAAGCCTTTCGGTTATTGTAGTGTTTGTTTGCTTTCTCTGTATGTCTGTGCTGTGCTTCCCTACCAATTAATTCATTATCCAGAGGATTGACTTTTTCTGGGTGAACGATCCGTGCTCTACAAAACCACAGATCCTGTGGTTAAATGTGGCTGTATGATCTTGTTGGTTTTAAGATATTGTTCAGGTACAACTATAGCCTGTTTAAATAAGTATTGATTTAAAACGGCAGACATGTAAGCAGTAAAATTCAAATCAACAAAGAGATAAATTGTCAATTATTGTAGTATATGACATTGGCTAACTGAAAACTTTGTGAGCTCAGAAAAGGTCACCTGGTGTTTAATATGGCAACAATAACTGCGGGTTGTAGGGTCACCGGAAGTAATTTGACTACACTTGCATGCAAAACCTGCTTAGGCAAGATAAACCTGTCAGTTTATTAGAATAGAACGGATTTTGAATTATCCATAAGAGTCGAATCTTTTGATCTGTTCATTAAAAATATTAATTTTGTGTGATATGAACGAGTCACTCCTTCGTTAAAAGCAGTTTCGATCGAAAGAGTTCAACATAGGACCTGGGGCCTGTTTCATAAAACAAGTTTACCAAATATGCCAGGTTTATTTCAGTCAGTCTGACTTATTGTCAGTTGATTTGGTTCAAAATAAGTCAGACTAACTGAAATAAGCCTGGCTTATTTGGTAAACTTGGTTTATGGAACAGCCCCCGGTTCACACCGAATTCGTTTTTGCTGTAAAGAACAAGACATTAAATGGCAGTGAATAAAAAATGTAAGGTGGCGATGGTTTTTTTTTTTTAGTGCTGTCAAACGATTAATCGCGATTAATCGCATCAAAATAATAGTTTGTTTTTACATAATATATGGGTGTGTACAGTGTATATTTATTTTGTATATATAAATAGACACATGCATGTATATATTTAAGAAAAAGTAATGTTTTTATATAAAATATGTATATTTATTTATAATATCAATTATATATAAGTATATATAAACATGTAAATATTTTAAAAATATATAGGCTTACATATACGTGATTGCATTTATATAGGCTATACATAATACATAAACACAGCACACACATCTATTATGTAAACACATACTTTTATTTTTCGATGTGATTAATCGCGAATTACCGTTTGACCGCCCTAGACTTGGACTCATTGTAACTTGTGCGATGCTTTTTTAGAACGCTTTGTTGTGCAAGAGGCTGCAAAAAGTTGAGATATGGAACGAAACCGTTTAAGGGGTCGTTCACACAGAACGTCTTTTTGCATTCCACTGTACTGCATTTCTGTGACATGAGATAAACATTATATGTAAATGTATGTGATTGACCATTGCATTCTCATCTTTTTCAGCAACTTGCTGAGTTAAAAAGATGAACTTTGTGGGTTTTTTTTCTCGATTTCACTTTCTGGCATTTCACATCTCTAACGGGCCATTCACGTAGAACGTGTTTGCATCGAAAAGCTTATTTGAACAAAAAGTATTTTATCTTGCGCGCAGCATTTTTAGAATGCTGTCATGCACAAAATGCTACGAAAGACACGAGCCCAATGGTTAAACATTAGAATGCAAAAATGTATTCTGTGTGAACGGCTCCTAATATGTCCATTTACCACATGTTTATATTAAAAACCAGTGGAAAACAGTGCAGTGGAATACAAAACGCGTTCTTTGTGAGCATCCCCTTATCCTTTAATAAAACTTGCATGCCTACAAATCTACTAGAGCCTCCAGAAAGGCACAGATCTACCTTTTGTTCAGTAGCTCCATTCTGTGACGATAGAGTCTAGAACACTCCTCCCTGTAAAGACAACAAGCTTTAGCACCATGGCGAGTGTTTTGTTCTTTAACACACAGATGTATGCCACAGAATTTTTGACGTGTCATTACGGTGATTTATAAAACTCTCTCTTTCTCTCAGGGATCCCGTCATTTCCATCCTTTGACAAAATGGCAGGTGTGTTTGCCTACGAGAGCTCTGAAGTTGACTGGTGTGAGGACAACTATAAACATTCAGAGAATGTTGTGGAATATTTCAACACGGTACGAACATAACAGATGAGCCGCAAATCCCTTTCACACTCTAGTCACTGTGAATCACTCTGAATCCAGCCATTAACACTAGAGGAGTCCTATTCAAGACATTGTTAAATGTTAATTACACATCTACAGTGACTCAGGCACAATGTTACACCTATCAACAGAGCTCAACAGAGATTGAATCCAGTACAGTTCAACCCAAACCGGTTTTATTTGTGATCCTACACTAGTTACAACTACTACAAAATGTGTAGAAGTCAAAAAACACATTTAGAGGCATCATGGGATAGGATTTGAGTTTGTGTGTCCGTCTGATTCACTAATATCTGTTTTTTGCCCCTTTCAGATGAGCAGTTTTATATTCTTTGTGATCTCACCCATAATGCTTTACCTGCTACACCCATATGCCAAGGAAAGAAACCTGGCTGTGCACCTGGTCTGGATCATGATGGTCTTTGTAGGTAAGTGTGACTGTTCAATCTGTAAGGGGTTGTGGCATTAACAATCCAGCAGAGGGCAGTATTGTTCAATAGCCAAGTCAAATTTATAGCCAGCAAATTGAAATCCACTGATTCATTATATTTAATTCATTTAAATGAATGAATGAAATGTCAGCTTGAGTTTTTGTATGTTACTGGCCAAATGAACCAACAAGTGTGTATATACAAGCTACAAAAGGCTAGTAACTTTCACAAAATGGGTTTGCATACATGCAAATCAGTCGACTAGAAATTAAAAGAAAACGTTTCAATTTTAAAATAAATAAAAAGTATTATAAATTTGCATTATAAGTAATAATAAAAAAAATTCTTCTGTATTTGTCAAAACGCCTATGCTGTCGGACATGCACACACTGAATAAGCTGACAATGTAGATAAATGTTTAAAAGCAAAGCAAAGGAAAATTGGGAAAACATGCAAAAATCATGTTTTGCTTAAACCACTTATGCTGTTGCCTCAATAAATCAGCTTT